TTATAGGGCATGAATTGGCAGTGAAGAAACTGGATCTCAGTTTTCTAAAATGCCAATGTATAACTAGTGGTCTGGGTTTTAATGTATGTTCTGTACATATTCGGAAAAGTAAGTATTTATGAAAGTTTATTGTAAGCTATTTCGGTTGTAGGGTGCAATTATGCAAGAAAATTATCCTATAAGAGTCATGACATCTTAGTGCTCTAGAATTGCAACGCATGAGTGGTATCGCTGGTGTCACATATCATAACATGTTGCCCGTATTTATAGAGAACACGGTTACCATTTACCATCAGGTGGGGCGTAAGCTTATTTACGTAAAAGTATTTTATTTAAAGTATAATAATAACCAATTTTCCTCTTTATACTCGCATTTCTTCTTCGATTACTGTAATTTGTGTAAATTAGAATAAAAATAACCCAATGTCAATATATGAGTTAGGTTAAGTATCTTTATACAATCGTATTTCACAACAAAATCGACTTTAATATAGTGCAATATGATCTTAATTTGATTACATGAAATTCAGCATCTTATAAATTAATAAGCAGTTCATTTATAAACACATTTTAGAGAAATTTGATCTGAAAAACGAATTTAAAGGTACGCTGTATCGAACCAAATATCTTACTGATATTACAACACGAAATATTATATAGCTACAAACGCGAAAGTTAGTGAGTATGGATAGATATTTGTTACTCTTTCACGCAAAAGTCACTTAACGGACTTTGATGAAACTTTGCAGTAATGTAGCTTATACATTAGAATGTGTATGTGTTATAGGTTATAAATTTCAAACGGGTGAAATCGCGGGTTCAGCTAGTAAGAAATAAATCAAACAGTAGGTTTTTATCCTATATTGGCCAACAGATAAATAAATATTATATATCTTGCTTTGAAGTAATATAATTATGTTTTCAACTTAATTCCAATTTAGTTTCTCCTAAGAATGTACACAAAACAAATGTTAGACATCCCTAATTATACAGACATACAGAGGAAATAAATGCCATATGTTACTTGTCATTGCTTGTTTCCTAATATTGTAGGGGAGGAAAATGGCGTATATATAAAGAAAGAAGAAAGAAAGAAAATATACACTCGTTCTCTCGAATCTATCTTGTCAGACATCAACATTTAACAATTTTCATTACAAATAATTACTCAATAATAATAAATAAATAAACATACAAATAACGAGCGCCATCTAGTCTCAAAGTAAGCAAAACTTGTACTACGAGTATGTTCATACTAGTCTAGCCAACTGATATAAATACATAGTTACTTTGTTGTAAATACTATGTATGTATTTTAAAAAAAGTAATCACAATATACTTAGAATACAATACATTAACGACAACATACATAGAATACACCTAGCCTAATACAAACAAACATGCTCATGAATACAAATGTTTGTACCGTGCAAAGAATCGAACATGCTACTATCGGTAGTAAGTCGGTGTGCTAAACTGCTACACCATCGGCCGTCAAACATACATTTAGTTATGTTAAAGTATTTAGTTAAAACAAGAATGTTTCTAATACAAATGTGTAATACTATGCATGCTACGTCCTGTATTGGTCTCGATGATGATGCTTTTCCGCCAATTGTAGGATGAATTGACAAACATACACGTAAACAATAATAGTTATATGGTTATACGTTGCGACTTAGGTGTTTATTACTCCACCTCACAGAGGCAAGGCAATGAAGTTCGATATATGATGGTGGTCACTCTATACTGCCAAATTTGATTATTATATTACTGTCTCAGACACCAGCACCTCACAACAAATCGATTCAAATAATAAATTTAAGTATTTTATTATAAAGAATACTACACGTATTGTTGCCATCATGTTTGTGAGGAGAAATAAATAAATCCTATTATTATTATATGATTAAAAATGATTATATTATTGTAAGTTAGCCCATCCATGCAAATGGTAATTTATCATGATGGTTTCCAGCGGTATCCGCATGGAGGTTAACCTGATATGCTATATAGCTATGGGGTTATTAATCCAGATTACTAATATTCCCCTTCCCTCCTATATACATATACTCACGACTGCGATCCATTATGGAGTACCTAGTACTAAACAATCTCCTAAGTTGTGTTGAAGCTTGACATGTCTACATTTGGCTGAGAATATTTGATTCCGATATGGTGAGGGATGAACCAACTACTGCCTCTCGTATTAAACCCTATTTTTGTTATCGGTGTTTACCATCACCGGAGAGTTAGTCAGAAATTTAAATTGACTTTGGACTTGCGACATTTGAGGTAGTAAACCACTAGGAAGGACCATTATTAGTTAAACTATTTTCTTAAAGTACAATATTGTTTGTTATAAAAACGGACAACTTAGAAGCGACACTGGTGCAACATAACTACAACATATGAATACAAAATAATTGAACATCAAGAGACATTTCGTCCTACGTCGTAGGACTCAATGTCCTATTGCAATTCAACAGTTGGTCGCCCCACAAGAGGACAGTCTGCAAAAAAGTCACGATCGAAAACACTAAGCAAAGAAAAAATTTGTCATTTAAATAGCCCGTCAGACATTGCCACCAGCAATTATTCAGCTGGGAATAATACAGATACCCATGATATAGAGTCTCATTACATTCTAATCTATAAAAAAGAGGAGAGACGTCTATCTTCATTCAAATCGTTCATTGGAGGGAAAGCGATTGTTTAAAAACATTGTCCTTCCAAATTTGAATTTAAAATGAATCTGTATTATTGTAAACATGTACAACATTTATTTGAAAAGAATACGAATTGAGTTTCTTGTCAGGTCTTCTCGTCTCGATATCATTATCTCGAATACCGAACTCACAGACTGGTAGATTTGACATATTATAAGAGTCTGTAATAGACCTACATGAATAAAGATATATTGAATTTGAATTGCTAGCAAGGTACCACGTCAGATTGACCTCCACGCAGTCCTGCTGGAAACCATCGTGATAAAATCCATGGTGAATTTACCATGATGGGCTAACTGGCCTGACCTCATACGCATCTTATCATCCACTGGTGCCAGCGAGATGGTAATAATAGCTATTGTGAACTATCCTCTTACAAATTAACATTATATCTAATGAAGCCAGCTATATTCACTATTATAATAATAATTTATTTATTTCTCCCCCTATTTAGACGGTAAATAAATTATTCTCGCTTCATTCTCTGTAAATTAACAAACAGTTTACGTGAAGGTAATAACTTAAGACGTTTGATGTTGTATTTGTAGAATTGATGAATTAATTATGAATCAATATCTGTCAAATAAAATATATATACCGAGCGAGTGCCGTGTTCAATTTTCTTCAAATAATTATATAATTGTTCTCTCTAAAGTTTAATAAGTGTAGGAGTGTTTAAAAGAATTTTAGAGTTTGCATGAAAACACTTAACAAACAATCATATTCAGGAATACAAATGTTTGCATCGTGTGGGGAATCGAATCTACGGCATTTAACGGTGTGCTAAAGCGCTAGGCTGACGCCTTCGACGAATGAAAGATGAATGATGAAATATTATTATGTCATACTTTATATAATATATACATACTTTATATGTATACTAGCGACTCCTCCGGGCTTTGCATGTATGCAATACGAATCGTGGTATTTCTCGGTTTGCTCTGTACTACAACAATCATGTATTATACCTATAAACCTTCCTCTTAAATCACTATCTATTACTGAAAAGTGCATTAAAATCTGCTCCGTAATTTAAAAATCTAAGGCAACAGACAGCAGAAGCAACTGCATTTTATACTATGTAATGATATACATACATACTTTATATGTATATTATAATGTTTATGTGGATGTAAGAGAGTCAAAAGGCAAAATAGAATTTAATACGTTTCTAGATTAATTTATAGTTTTCTCATATTAATTTTTTAAATAAGAACCTAAATGTAACCTGTTTTACATGTCAAATAAATCTAAAAGCATTTAATATTAATCTAGATATAATAGAAAAAAAAATTATTACCTTCAATATGAGTCAAAAGCTTTTTAAATCTATTTAAACAAATTACTGAATTTAACGCATCGTAATTTTGACATTTTATTCAGTGAATTCATTTTTTTAGTTGTCTTAGCCTCTGGTATAACATTTAATTGATAAAATACTAAATGCCTGTGAATGTTCAAAGATAGTGTGTGACTGGACTGACAGGGGGGGTGGTGTGTGGCGTATTAAAGCAAATAGGAAATATGGAACGGATTCAAATTTTTTTCTAAATAAATCTTCTAATTTACCATAGCCCTAGGACTGCTAGCTCATGCATAACCCGTCACAATATAGACCATACATTCGTCCTGTAAAGGTATACATTACTAAGAGTACCACCACTGATCTTATTATGTACATTTATATGTGACGCGACGTCCTCTTTAATGGCTTTTTCAAGTTTATCAACTTGTACTATAAATAATTCAGACTGAGAATCAATCAAAAATAAGAGGTGCGCTAGACCACCGAGGTCATCTAACAAAACTTTAATTATAACCTAACTATAGATCTTTGCAAAATACAGATTCCATCAATTTTGAAATACAATGTGGTTCTATCTTATATATAAAATTCTTATGTCTACATAATCAGTAGGTCTGAAAATCGACTACCTATTTTTCATACCCCTAAGTGATAAGGGTTGTTCACTCCTTTTTATGTTTTTTTTTAAATCACTTTTATGTTATTTTTTGGACATTTTTTTTTTATATTGGCATTAAAAAATACTTACAACCCCAAATTTTCACCATTTCGACCATCAACTCCTATTTTTCAATAGCTATTTTAATTTTTACGGCAACACAATGTTTGCGGGGTCAGCTACTTTATATATAATTAGGATATTGTACGCAGTTTTCTCTGCTGACGCTAGACCGAACTAGTACTGTGAGATCCCAAGGTATATAAACGGTGTTTCTTGAACGTACACTCAGACGGTAGCCAACTGTGATGCGGTAAAGTTTACCTCTCATGAGTAACATTATCTCATAATTGTAACATTAGTTAGGCAACAAGTGAGTACTATAGGGTTATGCAGTAACTAGTTTCAGAGGTGAGTTCCGATTTTATATATTTTCTATTATTGATGTACTAATTATATTTATATGTGTATATATATACCTAATATATTGTATATTATATATACCTTCAACCTTCTTTATCCTCATATAAAAGGGGTTCTTGTATGCCTGGATGATAATCATTTAAAATGCGTTATAGACTCAATTTTCTAATTTATTACATATTTTAATTATACATTAAATGTTATATTAATAATTATATATTAACATTATATATTAATAATTAAGTAAAAAAATAATTAACTGTTATTGTAATAAATAATTAAAAATGTCGTTGGAAGATGTTAACTATTACGGTATTATTCTATAAGTACTATAATCAGAGCACAAATGTTTGTAAAACCAATATAATTATATTAAAAATAATAAATAAAAATAATAAAATACTACTTATACACATTCATTAATTCATTTTTTTTCTAAATTTTCAAGACATAGAAGGCTTTTCTATTTCATTTTATATATTAAAATATACATGTATGTGAGATTTATACTATAAATGTACTAATGTCCCTCTCATAGTTTACCCGTGTGCGTTTTATATATTATAATTATATATTATAAAACCTGTCATTTTTAAATATTGTACGTTTGAAATAGTGAATGAATTTCTCAAAACGGTGTATTAATTCAGGAGTTTTCAGGAGTTCCACTCATAATAATATCCTTTCTATTTCATTATAAGTGCATATAAAAAAATATTTTGTGTACTGTTTGTGATACGCGCAAAATAGATGTTATTTCTTTCAAGATATCACCAAATAATTTAAAATACTGACGGCTGATTTATAAATGAGATTTTTTTATTTAGGGACTTTTGTACCATATAAGTACATGCCAGTCCCGTTGTACCCTAAAACTAATCACTCCATTACCTCACCAGTGAACAAATTACCTTAGCCGCACTGTCTGAAGGATCGGCTAAAACAGTTTGTATGGCACCAACATCTAATATATTTATTCCATGATCTGATGTTATTCTATGTCGTAGAATCTCGTTCCTGACCCACTCCATCAGCAAATGATACACACACACACATACACATATCCTCTATTGTACCACATACTTCACAATTTTGTGAATTGCTTTTTATCAGGTATGCAAACTTTGCCCATGGCTAATGTCCAGAACAGAGTCTAGGCATTTTTACTATGTAAGCACACGTGCTTACACAGGTAAAGGTACACGTACCTTTCACATGAGAGAATAATGTGTGTCAAGATTTTATATTTTTTATATATTGGTGCTGATCTATATTAATTTAACCTGTTATTGTATTATTTAGTTATTCTAAATATAAGGAATTAATTAACAGCGATGAATGGAAGAGAAAAACATATTAGGCCAACCCAAAATAAATGAAATAAGGAAGAAGCAGATGATTATGAAGATGTATTAATTAACAATATAATATGGCGATAGTGAGGCTATTAGTTAATTCAGTTAACTGATGAAAAGAAATTAATTTTGACGCAAATATTCAATTATGTTACATTTTATTAGACATTAGCTAGTCGCACAGGCTTCGCACGAGTATACATGTATTATATATAAAAACGTTCCTCCAGAATAACTCTATCTATTAAAAAAATCTACAGAAATCTATATAAAAATAATTAAATACATGCAATGTAGTAATAATAAATAAATAAATTGTAAAGGTTTTCTTCTACAAATTAATTTTTACAAATATAGGTGTAATTCATATTAAATAAAAACAATTGCTCGAAGGCCCAATCCCAAAAAGACAAAACCCATTCTCTAGGTTAAATAGTTTTAATTTTTAATTATATATAGACGGCCTCGGTGGTCCAGCGTTTTCGCACACCGCTTTACTTCTGATGGACGCGGGGTCGATTCCACGCACTGTACAAACATTTGTATTCATGAATATGATAGTTTATAACGGTCTGGGTGTTTTCTATGCATAATATTATTTATTTACAAAAATGTATCCATGTATTTATATCAGTTGTCTAGTACCCATAACACAAGCTCTGCTTATCTTGGGACTAGATAGCGCTTTGTCAATTGTCCTGAGATATTATTATTATTATATCACCCGAAGTCTATGAACGGCTGAATCACCAGGGGTGTCATGTGCGCGTTGCCGACCCTTAAAACACATTAATATAACTTGAATAAATTCTGCTTAATCTATGATGGATATACCCCTTGCTTTTTCATGTGCATCAAAATTTTTAATAGTTTCAAACAGCGCTTGACGAATGAAGCGGAAAATATTTAAATGGAAGCCAAAACCGCTTACGCCGAAAAATATGACGATTTTGTTTATAAAAAAAAATTTTGGGGAAAATTAAAATTCTTACCGACCCGGAAATGTGGGAGCGTGCGGAACGAAGCAAGAAATAGACGATTAGAATCGCTAGTATTCTTGAATGCTGTAGTATCTCGATAAAAAGCATGAGTGGTAGGTACTGTCCATGTATATAAACGACTGTTACCATGGTCAACTTAAAAATCACCGCAATGACGACGTACATGTGACTAGAGTCACGTGATAATATGATGTCTGTGGTACTGTTCATAATAAAAATAATCATAGACAATTCACACAACGCCATCTAGTCCCAAGCAAAACGAAGCTCATTACCTCCAGTCTTAATATTAGCTTTTTTACCATTGATATAGAAAAATATATTATATGACTATTTGTAATTGCTTATATTTGAAGAAAAAAATCTGTTCCAAAAACAAAAAAAAAAACAGTTATTCTTCTCCACACACACAAAAAATTGGCACTATCCCTTTAAAATATTTGTATAGTTGTGTCTTATCATTTATTATAATCTCTCCAAATATTGGTTCGTATTCATTCCTGTTGATAGTTCCCGGGTGATTGTATACATAGGACGGTTCTTTTATAACATAGTCGACAAACGAGGCTGCAGCTCAGGCAGACGGCCCACCCGATGGTAAGTGGTAACCGTCGCCATATACATAAACAGCACTACGAACATCACGTTATCATGTGACACCCGCGATACTACTCTTGGAATGACATCTAAAATGAGATAATAATAATAATACAATCTTAGGACAATTCACACACCGCCATCTAGATCCAAGTTAAAGTAGCTAAAGTTTGTGGTACCAGATAACTTATACAAATACATAGATTTTTTTTCGTAAATACATACATATTATAGGTACATAGAAAATACTCGGACCGATACAAACAATCATATTCATGAATACAAATGTTTGTGCCGTGCGAGGAATCGAACACGCGATTATGTCACTCTACAACCGAAACACAGCTTCCAAACAGAACAGCTAATAGAACTTGTAGCTCACCTGATGGTAAGGGATTACCATTGCCCATGAGGACCCGCAATAACAGAGGAATTGCAAGTGCTTTTTCGGTCTTAGGAAGGAATAAGCTCTTTTCTTGAAGGTTTCAATATCGTACCATTGCTGGAAGATGGAACCACAATGTGGTTTTGCGTGGAGTTATAATTTTAAAATAGATCAAATCAAACCAAATCAAAAATAATTTATTAATGTAGGACATTTTAGCCGCTTATGATTGTAAAACTTTTTGTATTAATATTTTTTACCTTATCGACCTGTTCACTATACAGATTCAATTAAGAAGAACTGGCAAGAAACTTAACTTATTTTTTTAAAGCCACTTTATACACATTGAGTACTTATGTAGGTGTCTATGTCTAACATTAAGTGAAAATCCAGTTCATGAACAATTGTTATGCACGTTTGTCATTCAAGTAATGATATAAAAAAACGAGTGTAAAAAGAGTGTAAAATGAGTGTAAAAAGTTTATTACATTCCGTTGTCTCTGCCTGCCCCGTGAGAGACTTGCCTTGAATATAGAACGGATGTTTAATAGCAATTTGTCCAAATTCATTTCACCTTTTTAAGTTAATGTTGCCTCTCCAGAGATAACTAAAAGTAATTTATACGAATAAAATGTCTCAAGTACGAACTATATTCTCTTTTTCGATAAATTGTTAATACTTTCAATTTAAAGCTTAATGAATACTATTTTTTTTTATTGATTTTAATGATAGGATACACCCGCCTGCGCTAAGGGTTTACGCTGGCGGGGCACCAATGATAAGATGATAAGATAAAATGAGAAATCAGGTGAGTTAGCCCATCTTGGCAAATGACAATTTACCACAATGGTTTCCAGGAGAAACCGCGTATAAAAATTATTGCGCTGTTAGAATAAGGTAAATTATCCTCGAGTGCTATAAGCTACATAACATCACGCTACAACCAGTAGGAGCGGAACAGCAATGAAAACTGTGGCCAAAATATTAATTTTGACTGCTTCCGCTGCTTGCATTGCGTAATCAGTTAGTTACACAAAAATATGTATGACGGAATTATACTCCTTTAAAAGAGCTAAATAATCCGCGATAATGCTATGTCTATCTTTTAAGGTTAACGCGTTATAACTTAATTAGGGCTATGCGAAGCTGGGGCGGGTTGTTAGTCTTCTATATATAAAATTCAGCTTTTATATAACTTTCTTAGAATTTATAAATATCAAATTTAATGTTATAGCATCATCATGTATTTTTAAAGTATATAACATAAGAAAAAGTTTATGTAAATTTAATAAAAAACATCGTTACAAGACGCAAGTTATAGAGGTAGGTAACAATAACAGTAATCTTTTCTCTTCCCAACGACCACGGATATTAAAATATTTATAGATTTCTAAGTAGGTAGATACTGCTTAAACTTCCATTTCCTGAGTTTTTTTTATTTATTATTTAGTTAGAAATCCTACCTGCGTTAACGGAATAAACATTTTATATCGAGTATGATGAGTTTAGGTAAAGGTTTTAACTCATTGTAGTGAATTCACCATGAATTCACCACGATGAAATTCATGTCAGAATAGTGTGGTAGTACAATGCTAGCAATGGAGACTGTATTCATTTATTTATTAGAAATGGGAAAGCCCATTTCTATTAAATAAATAAATGATGAATGATGATGATGAATGCTGGCCTACCTGATTGCAAATAACCGTCGCCTATATATAAGAACAACATTACGGACATCAGCGTATACCATTAGTGTACGCGGATGTACAATTCTATAATCATAGATTAAAAAAACGTCGTCTATGTAGGTGAACAGCACTATGGACATCATGTAATGACATATTCTGTGATTACACTAACTTATCTCATCCTTCAATCGAAACAGGCCACAAAATAAGCTACTTGCGGCTGAAATTAGTTGAGGGATACCTCTTACGTACGTATGTAGAAGGCGTTTTATACGGTTTATGGCGTGAAACATAGTCCATGGTGAAACAATAAATAAATCATATCTTTTACTAGCTGTTATTGGCAAAAATAATTAATTTTATTGAAATAAAAGTAGCCCAAGTTACTCTTTATAACATTAGCTATTTGCGAATGAGAGTTTCGTCAAAGTCGGTCTAGCTGTTTCAGATATTAGCAAGAAAACAACAGACAGACAGATTTTTTTAAATTATTATTTTGATGTAAGTTCCGTATATACTTTAATATGCATTTAGTGAAAAGCTATTAATTTTAAATTGCAAACATATACTTAAGTTTTATTTATTTCTATATATAGACTTAACGTAAAGTTAACATTTACCATTTTTGACATTTAAGTGTTGTGTAGGCGGGAACATTGTGGTCTGTTTTATAGTTTTTTTTTCTTAATTTTGTTTCCTGCGGAATTATAATTTGGCTCAATAAATTGCTTTTCATAACAAATCACGCTTCATTGTTCCTGAATTTCAATGAGATACTCGTAAATACAACGAAATTTTCCTAAGCTCCGTATAGCCAGGTCGTTATTACGACCTTCATGGCCTAGCAGTTGAGCTCACCGCCTTACGATGGCCGCGGGTTCGATTCGTCTCATTCGTCGCATGATACAAACATTGGAGGACAACATGAGATGAGTATGAGGTGTTGCACCCGCCTGCGCATCGTGACAAATTCACCAGGAATTTATCATGATGGTTTTCATGGGGAACCGCGTGGAGGTCAACCTGACATGGTACATTGTTAGTAATGGAGTCATGAATCCACATTACTAACAATCCCCTTTCCCCTTTACATACTATGTTGTAATAATCTAAGTATATATTATGTCAGTGTGTACAAAAAATGCATTTAAGAAAGTTGTCTACAATTGCTTCTAGTTTGCGACTACGTAGAGATGTAGGAATTGTCCTAGCTTATTATTATAATATTGTCACGTCTGTTTGTTGGTTAATCTCTGCATATAACATACGTTTAAATGTGAGATACTAATAAAAAATATATAACTATTTTCACATAATACTAGCTGACCGGCGCAACTTTACGTGACATTTATCGTAATATTTCGCCCAACTTACATAATATATTTTTAAATTAGCCTATATATTATTCTGAAGTATACGCTATATTACTGTAAAGTTTCATCAAATATTTCTTCCGATCAATCCCCCCTCCAAATTCAATCGGGGATCGAAATTACGACAGTTTAAGCAGAGGTTCCAACCTCTAGCGGTGTCCTCAGACTAAAGTCGTATCCATCAGGCCTGAGTTGGCCTTCAGCCGCTCCATAAGTCCTTCCGCAGGTTTGGAGTGCCATATGCCGTCGCCCCATATCGTTCGATGAAACTGTACAGGCCAGCTGCGACCAACAGCATTAGATTAGTCCGAAAAAAAAAGAAAGTCTGTTCAATAATTTTTGCGTGAAAGAGAAACAAACAGCCATCCATCTATACTTACAAACTTTCGCGTTTATAATATTAGTAAGAAGATATTTTTAGTGTTATGATTATTATCAGACATCACACGATCTGTCTGTCCATAATAGGCCGGTGTACGCCTCTTCCAGTACCAGCAGCCTTCTACTTTTGTTTTATATAAGTATATTTGTATGGTCAAGCTTTTGTCCGTCATTCCTTCTGCATGCCCGCACCAACGTAGCATGCCTCGTTTATTTTCTCCTTCATTAATAGAAATCTTTATCGAAGAACTTGTTTTTATTGTAACAAAATTAATTAATCATGATATTTTGTTAAACACAAAAAATGTCTTCAATATAAACGAAATTAAAAGGATTTCGATAGAATCGGTTATAGAGTCTACACTCAATAAAAAATACAATCAGTAAAATGGCTAGCTATATAAAATGGTTAATTAGTATTTTTTTTAATCTTTGTATAGACTGTTTTATTGTGAATGTTTGGATATTGTTTCGATTTTAGATTGGCTAGCCATTCAGTAACACAATTATTGTTATATTCGACGCTAAGCTCGGGTTCTCTATCATTATATACTTACATATAGGGGGGAATGGATAGTAATGCGGATTGATGACTCATTGCTAGCAATGTACACACAGGTTAACCTCCACGCGGTTCTCTCTGAAAACCATCGTGATAAATTCTTGATTACTTAGTCACGATGGGCTAACTGACCTGATATACTCATCTTATCATCCTCCACTGATGCCCCGCTAGGGTAAATCGTTAGAGCAGACGGGTGCACCATTCCATTATCATCCATAAAAAATCCTACATATATACTTAAAGGTATATTGAGATCTGTGTAAACCAATTTACTTTTTAACATTTATAAGTAAGCTTGAAAACAACGTGCTTTGTAAAATTACTTATTTATATAATTCACATACCTATAGATAAAATTAAGAACAAAAAGACGCTAAATGATTTCCCCGCCTTGCCACGTTGAATTCAAATATTCGATAATTACTCTCACTATCTCATCTGGGAAGATACCTATGATGATATGTACATGTGTACTTTTGATAAAATAAGACGTCGATATCATCCTCCCTACACTAGGAACTAAGTCAAACATCATAAACAAATACGTTAACAAAGTATTCTTCTACATTCCAGAACCATGTCACATCACTGGCTGCTTATCACCATTTCCTGGTTCGGAACCGCCAGACTTCAGCACATAAGCACTGGAGGCCCTGGAGCTGACACTATTTTGGACAACTTAGAGTCAAATCTGAATTATCCATTACCGTATTTGAACTACTTTAATCTTCCATCCAGAAATGACTTCGATAATTATCAGAGCGATGTATCAAGTAGCCAAAACTTCAATCAATATTACCATATGAATGACCATGACCAACCAGATTTGCAAAGAAAACGAAGAACTGCTGAAGATATAGAGGAAGTAAAGGACAAACGCTGGCTCCCGAATCTTGTTGATACAGATAAAACTATGTACCTTCATAATGATGACTTGTTGGGAAGCCCATTTGTCGCAGCGTTCACTGGTACAGCTGAAGAAAATGGTACCAATATGAACCTTGTAGGACCATTGGATAAGAAAAGTTTTAGCCCTTGGGGTGGCAAACGGGATAAGCCAAACATAGAAAATATGTGGACGTGGAAGCGCGCTTCCAACTTAAGAGAACCTAGTATGCCCAAGAGAGTGCGGTTCAGCCCTTGGGGCGGAAAACGAAGTGGTCTAATGATGTACAAACCAGGCTCGAAAGGTTCCAAGATCATTTTCTCATCAGCAATGCCAGAGGTGACTCGAGTCGTAACAAATTTCTCGCCAAACGGTGAAAGATTTGACTTGGCCGGCTTTCAATTCGTCCCAACATTGGACAAACGACATCCAATTAAAATTCTCGCCTTGAGTACCAAATTGGACGAGAAGACTTTAAAGGATGCATTGCCATTCAAGACATTCTTAGAGAGCTTACCAAAAATATATAAGCCGGGACATCCTTACATAGATGTAAATTTAAAAAAAGACGGCAAGCGAAAAGTGAAGTTTAGCGCGTGGGGCGGAAAGCGATCTCCTCCTATTATAGGACCAATCTGGACTCCTGCACCATCCGACATCAAGGAGTCCACTCTGAACACTATACTCTTAATAAAAAATAATCAAGACGAGCAAACATTGAAGGCACTGTAATATGGAAACAATTTGATCTCACATTTAGTTTATAGCTCCCAAACTTTAGAATATCTATAGCTTCATATTAGTGCCATACGATTATAAGTGATTCTAATGATGATTAGAAAAAAAAATATGTAAAAAAAAATAGTTTGGGAGCTATAAGTTTTGTCTCTGACGATAGGCTGGGATCGTCAGATACATCCAAAGTGTAATGCACTCTAAGTGATAATGTTGTTATGTCTTTGTTACTCTTATTTATTGTAATATATTGTTCTCAAATAAAAAATATAATAAGTTGAGTTTTCTATTTTTCCTGAAATATGGTGAACAAAGGCATTTTACATAGTAATATCAAATATTACATGGACTATACTAAGCACAATATTTTGTATTATTCATTAGTAGTAATGAAGAACATAAAATATTTTACTTTATTATTTACTAATAAATATTTAAGTAACTATTCAATTCAAACAAAAGTACAATTTTTTTCACAAATACGAACTTAATATTTAAGTACCAGAATACTCATTGTTATGAAATATGTATAGATATTAATCCAAAAATATACCCAGTTCTTATACCTTTCTAAAATACTCTTTGAACTGTGAATCACAGCCACCAGGAGGCGCGTATCCTTTCTCGAGGGAGTCACGGTTAAAAGAACAAGGTATATATGTAGGTACTACACATTCCACAAAGAAAACTACAATATCTTTAGAACTATTATGTGTCGTAGTTTCAAACTAGGGCCATAGGAGGTCACCTCTTAGAACTTAAGGAGTTGCTTATTTAAAGTTTGATAAACACTGTTTTGTGTGCAATATACCTAAATAAAATAAAGAGAAGGAAATAATTAACTAAACACTGACCTATGCAGTTTGAGCATACCTTTTGGTACATGTTTAAGGTAATTATTGCATTTACTTTCTTCTTTAAATTAAAAATTTTGTATCATAGCTACTAGCTATGATACAAAATTTTTAATTTCCAATTACAGTTATTAATACATTCAGTAGTTTCGAAAATAATAGAAATCATTAAAAGAATGAAAAACGAAATATTTTTGTTGCAGAAATAAATTTTATTACATACAGAAAATATTAAATATGGAATTACAATACTTCTAGGAATTACAATGATAAAAAAAAAAACTAATTAATCTTGGTTAGGACACCATTTTCTTACATCAAATTTTTTATTGCAATTTATTTTCACCACTATAGACTGTAGTGACATCTCCAATAATTGAAAACTTTCATCAAAAGTTATTACTTTTAGTATCATTACATTTTCATCTGGATGATAGATTGGAATTTATCATTTGAAAATTTTTATCAACAGTCATTAATTTTAGAATCATTAGTTTTATCTGATGATAAATTAGAATTTATCATTAAATACAAATAAACAGTTGTATACTAGGGTAGTCATAGTCAAGCCACAAAAGCCAGTGATATTGATGAAGCTGATTTAAGTAAAGTGGAAAATTTAAAATAGTTTTAAATTCAAACTGAGCGATGACATAATCATATACTAAATTGATTCAAAATTAAATTTTATGTTATATTTCCACTTTGCTTTTTTCCTGACAGTGGTTATATTTCATGAATGTCTATCTGGCTATTTTTTTAATTGGGGTTTTTGGCTATTATTAGGTGCTAAGACTTGTGACACTTCAACCTATACAGATCTGTGCTCACCCTTTTTCAAAGTTTGCTGTGCCTAGACTTGTGAGGGACGAGAATTGAAGAATTGAATAGCTGGTTATAGCCTTGGCATCTTATTTATCTATTTAGGAGAAATAAAGATGAAACAAGACTACTTTAACATGACAAGAGAAAATTTTAAGGGTGTAAAAAACATATTCAATTTGAACATATATTTTAAAATAATAATTTTGGTACAAGTAAAACATTGTCAATCATGGCATACAGGTTTAAAAGTTTAAGATATTTTAAATTAGAAATAATAATGCAAGTTCAGGTAATTCAGGCCGTTCGCAATATGATATGGAACCCGGAATCAGTCTCGACTGGTCTGCTTAATTGTCCTGGCTTCAGTTTGAACGATTCTTCCTCAAAAGGACGCTGCATCTGGCCTCTACCAAACATGCCCAAGTCTCCACCACGTCTAGCTGATGAGCAATCCGAAAATTTGCTTGCAATGTCAACAAATGTTGCGTCATTAGCAACAATCTGTTTACGGTAGCCCTTCAATATCTCCAAGGCTTCTTCCTTAGTTCTGGTTATATTTTCCTCGCGCCATGATGATGGACGTCTGCTCTCTGCATGTTTGACCAGAATGTGACTGCATCGAACCTCACCTGGATCAGCGGGAGCCTCAGGTCGTTCCCATTGAGATTTCTTTGTGTACATGTTGAGGAAGTAGGTCATGCCTGTGGAACGGCTGGTCCTCATCTCCCATCCTTCAGGCAATGGAGCATCATTTTCTTGGCTTGACATTCTGGAATATTTTTGCACTTTTTTGTGGAATGATGTTTGATACAACTATTAAATAATGATTTTAAATTGGGTGCAAAAAGTATATGCAACACTTGAAATTAGGCAGTATGGTCTTGCACCTTAGCCTATTCTGTTAAAAAAAAAACTTATACGAAAATTACAATTTTAGTTTATTTTTTTCATTTACAGTCAATGTTGCTTACAATGTCTCACTACTAAGTGAATTTCAATTATGTTTTGATCTTTTGAATTCTGATAATTTATCTTGTAAGTCGAATATAGGTTATGACAATTGCCACAACAACGAAATGTCTTTGTTCACCATAAATTAAGGATTAATGTATTTATTTACTGTTTTTATTTAATTAAATTCTTATTTTAAAATACTGACTTCATACTATCTATCCTACTGTTTACAATTTTCAAATTGTAGATATAGACAAATTTTTATTTTTATTATAAAAAACAAATTTTAGATACTGACCTGAATATTAGTAGCGATGAAGAATACTCATATATCTGCTCTCCGAAGAATTATGAATCTAAATAATAACTTTAGCTGTCACAAACTTTAAATAAAGAATTAAAACACAACAAAATTTTAGAGAATTCTTTAGAATCGATGTTCGATAGTTGTAAAATGAAACGACGCTACTATATTACACTATGCACGTTATGGAATGACGCGGGTGACAGTTCAGCTGACATTGCCATTTTTTGTATAATTTACTGGTTTATATTGTCATGAAAAAAGAAATAATATTCCTTATACCTACTATTCTTTTGTGAATTACTTTTGAAAAGAATGGAGACTTTACAGACTATATCTCAGTTCATTAAATTCAAATTAATTACGATCTTATATTATAAAATGGGTATAAATTTATTAAAAATCATATAAGTAAAATATTAAAAATATTACGAAAAACAGTTTCTTCTCATGATATAATTATAAAAAGAAACTATTTTGGTAAGAACTGTTTTAATGTACCGGCAATCATACGCACTATACTATAATGCGTGAAGTATAATAAACATTTCATGTTGATTTTTTTTGAGAGTATAAATACAGAGTAATTCACAATATCGTACATTAGATACAGTAACTCTATGGTTTCAGTTAAAAAGTAAAGTTTTAAACGCAGCTAGTCTAGTCTAATATTAATGTATAGAAAAAAGATTTCATTTGGAAGAGCGTTCAAAATGCTGATATACATAAAAATCAAAAGTTACCAATTCAAACCTTACGGAGAATAGAAAAAAGAATAAGTGTTAATTATGTGCGCCACCTACCCTTTTTTTATCTTTATGTTACTTAAGGATAAGATCGCTTTTTGTGTGTAGTTTATGTAGGTAAACTTATTATTTTAATTATGTATAGTATATCTGTATCTGGTGCAATATGGAGTTTAAATCTATACATCTATACATCTATGTATACATATAAATAAAATGGAGTGTCTGTTTGCTGCATGCATTTATTGTCTATGCTATATTTATATATGAATATAAATACAGTAATGACAATAAATGCATGTAGTAAAAAACGTACATACACCAAAATAACATTTTGTACAGTTTTTATCTGTCTGTCTGTCTGTTTATTCAGGCTCATCTCTGAAATGGCTGGACCGATTTTGACGGGACTTTTATTAGCAGGTAGCTGATGTTATAAGGAATAACTTAGGCTTCTTTTATTTTAGAAAAATAAAGTTTAGTTCCACGCGGATGAAGTCGCAGATACAGCTAGTAAATAAATATAATTTTATTATGATGGATTTACGCCCTCTATTGTATGGAGTGGGAACTAACTTGTTTCAAAGCATCAAAATGCCTTGAAACAAGTGTTAGTTTCCAAAGCACTTCTATGTCTACAATCTACATCCACAGATTCCAGCATATTTCGTCATAGATGACGCTAAACCATAGACAGATTTTAATGAGACGGAATGTAGTACACATAGTAATTATTAAACCCATTGCGAGAATTGTATATTTTGTTTTCAATGGGATCACAGAGGGACGGGATTTTTATTATTGGAGAATAGCAATATCATTATTTTACACGTGGAATCCATTGCGATTAATTTTTGTTGTATTTGCCACGATGCATGGGCTAACTGACCTCAACAGACTTGAAGTATTGCAGATTAGCAATGGGGCCACTATTGCTAGCAATGTACCATGTCAGGTCACTTTACACGCGGTTCGCCATAGATTCCATTGCAATTAATTTTTGTTGTATTTGCCACGCTGTATGGGCTGAACCAAACACTGACCCAAACAGACTTGAAATCAAGATTTGAAGTAAAAATGTGGTCATTATTGACAAAATTATTTTGCTGAATTATCTGGTTGCGTCTTTAACAACTTAAAACAGCTGTCGGTCAGTTTTTAACGCCTTTACTGTTATTTCTTATATATCTAAATGTAATTTTAATTGTAAATGTCCAATGAAATAAAAAAAACAACGTAAACATACCCTCGATACGGACTTGGTGATATTGACATTTCGTACAACTGAATGAAAACTGAGTTAACCCAAAAACGATAATTTTAATAATTTTTCAGGAGACGATGAAACGTAGATAGGTACAGTTATATTTTTTATTAGAGAAATTATGAAACACAATTTTAATTTATATCACAATCATCTCCTTTTCTAAAATGTTACATACTCTGTATAAACTGGTGCTAAGAATCAATCTAAAGCCTTGTGGTATATTCACTTTACTCTTTGATCTAAACTAAGACAACTCAAAAATTCTCAATGTTTTGTATCTATAGGTACATGTTTCAGTTTATATAGGTATAGGTGTAGAGTAGTCTTTGTCTTCTACGTTACCTTTGCTATAAACAATTTAAACTTCGAATTAAACAATTGAAATTCCTACAGTATATTAGCAGTTTTCATAAATTGCTCAAATAGAAATAATAAAGAAACATATTTCAGGGATTCCATTTTTAAATTAATTAATTTTGCTAAAAATTATCTTGCCAACTGTTGCATTACGCTCTTTATATAGTATGCATATGTATTTTTATAAATGATCTTTTAATATGCAACCACAGATAAGGTAATATATTATTATGTAGTTTTGCAAGAATTAATTATATATTTAGGCCTCGGAGCTTTGTGTGATTGTACACCAGACAATTCACTAAATGGACACTATATGCATTCACGACGGGCATCGTCGTAACTTTCAAAATTCAAATTATTGACTGAAAGAAAAAATATGTACATTAAATACCAAAGTCTATAAAAGTACTTATTTCAATATGAATTGACTTTGTCCTGTAAATTAAGTATTGTTATCTAAATTAAATTCATGTACAGTTCGCTATTTTGGCTATTACATTTGCCACGTAATACACAAATATAACATATATTTGTTTATTATTTTACGTTTGACTTTTTTTAAAACGAATGCGACTACCGAAGCTATATAACGATGTTTTTAGTGAAATATATTCAGCTTAAAAAAGACAACATTTAAATCTAATGCTACAAAGTTGTTACTTCGTAGTAAGAAACTAGTAAAATTTGCATAAATTAGATGGTATAAGCACAGATAACATAATATTAAGCATTATATTGTATAAATTAGACTTGTGGATAAACAGAACAATAATATGTTAATACTTTAGTGTTGTAATACTGAATATTGTAATTGAGAGAAAACCTTTAATTGGCTTTATTTTTAAGTACATATTATTTGTTATTATTTGTATTTCGCTGTTGGTTTTCAAAATAAATAAATAAAAAAACTACTTTAAGAATATCACAGGTATCATAATGTGATAATACTAAAAAAGGTAAACAGTTCCTTGCACTATACATACATCACGTTAGTGTAACTAAAACGATCTAATGAATATTAAAGAATTTTCCTGGATTTATTTGACGCTTTTTATTGTATTTCGCCAAATTTATTATTCTCATGTACAAAGTAATACTATTGTATTTCATCAAAATTGGTTTATTAGTTCAGTAAAGAGCAACCGCTATCATCCACGCATCCAGCAAACGAACAAACTTTCACGTTTGTAATATTATTATCTAGCAGGATGGATAAATGTATCTATTTTATAAATAGAGATCTAGTTCAATATCTCCTCTTTTTTAAGGTCGATAAAGATACTCTATCTTTGTTATTTTTAAGATGCATAGTGGGTATGTTAACACCAAATATCATCAGTCAGTTCCATGGTTAAGCCGTGAAAAACAAGGAAAAAAAACTAGTGAAATTTAGCTTCCGCAGAAACGTGGAACACGTTTTGTCTAATTCCCCTGCGTTTCTCTGTGGATGTCTATGACAGTCTATGTCTGTCATAATAATGTGAGGAACCTCTGCATAATTCAAGTTTGGTTGCTTTAGGAATAATTTAAATATAGTTTATGTAATGTAGTATTATACATTACATAAACTATCATAAATTTTGCTTTGTGTTTTTTTGCAATATCACAATTATATTGATTTTATTAAGTTTTTTGTCGATTATAAAACTGTTACAAAATAAGCGAAACAAAAAACGTGTAAATTTTACTAAGATGGCTTTGTGGGTTTATTAATAAATATTTTTATTTTTAATTATTCGCTACTTGTAATAAAAGTAATAATACATAATGTTTAACAATATTTGTATGGAGTTATTTTAAGTACTTAGTATATTTCCCCAGAAGTAGAGTTTATAAGTTGTTTGCGTAGGTACATCTCACCTCGTCTCATTTATGTTAACCACCAAGCAGCTTTATAAGCTGTGGTCCAGTTGGAGAGTGAGATATGGCAGTGAAGTTATAAGTTATGGGGATATAACATTTTAGTCCTACAGAATTATATTGCATGAAGGTCACATGATAACGTTTTGTCTATGATACTATTCAAGTACGACATAGGCGACGTTTGCCCCTCTGATGGTATTTATCATTTAGTTTAGCAGTTAGTTTCTTTGCTCTGACAGATACATAAAAAATAAATATATTGTGCAATACCCAATATTTTTTTATATGTAAAAATCGAAAAACCACTTAGTAAAATTTATGTTAGCGGACTATTTTTATTTGGACATTTTATTAGGCTTGACACCTGCCTAGTCAAATATTTTGAAATAGGTACTTATTTCTGGACTACACTCTTTGTAGGCGCATTGCGTAGGTATTTTTAATCGATTTCAAAAGATATTTTGACAGAATTCCAATCACCCTTAATTATCAGAAAGACATCGTCTATTTTTAGCTCATTTAAGTATCTTAATTAAAAGAAGATTAGTAGGGACAAATTGTGACTTTATAAATAATATAAGATGATATTTCCTTAATGATTTTATTACAAAATACATTTGAAAAATTATTAAATTTGTATACTCAGTAACTATGTTTTATTTATAAATGTATTTAGTCAACTAATGATTTTCATAATTATTTATATGCCCCAAAAAGGTTTATGCACAGTTAAGTTAAGTAAATGGCTTTTACTTTCTAATCACAATTTTTATTCTTCCCACCTTTTTTTTAACATTGCCTATTTGCAAACAATTCGTTTTAAGTCTCTGAGTACGGTCTTTACTAATTTGTCCTCATAAGGTCTAGATTCCTTAGTCCCTACAAAACAATTCTTGTGTGAATTAGTACAACCATTGCACTTTTATAGAATCATATTTTAACATCACAGATTGTTGTAGATATTCAATTAAGACATCTAATAAAGTCAAAACTTAAAACGTAGTGTTTATTTGCTTAGTAATAGACAAGCTATTGGACTTATTTGTCGATCAATGATTAATTAACTGGTATAGACATTTCACGTTCTCAATTTGAATTAAATTCAAACATACAATCCGTGGATGTGATTGTGCCCTGTAATTGTCCGGTAATGTACACATGTTTCAATTAATTATAGACTTCCTTAAGGCTTAGGTTACACAATGAGAACCGTAAGTTTTTATTTGGATCGATCTAATAAATTATTTTAAGTCAAGTTTGTGTGTGAATGGATGGTTGTTACTCTTTCAACCAAAAACTACTAAATGGATTTTAATAAAACTTTACAATAATATAGCTTCTATAACAGAATAACACATAGCATATTAATTTCAATTGAATGAAGCCGCGAGCACATCTAATTTTAAAATAGTTTTTAACTTTAGTTTATTTTAGTTTCAATCTTACAATTAAAGTTAAAATATAAGTCTGAAACTTTCCTACTAAAACGATAATCATAATATTCCTAGATTAGATTAAATACTTACTTGAAGTAGACTTCGCGTAAAGTCGAGTCTCTGTCTCATCTTTCAGCGGTCAAGCAACTTGTTTTGTGTACTGGGTTTCAGTATAATGGTGAGATATGGCAGTCAAATTACAGGGCATGGAGTCATCTTGGTCCTTCGTAATGAGACCACATGAGGAGCACATGGTATTACAAGTTCCTTGGTGCTGTACATGTAGACAGTCGATAGATATCATTTACGGTTAAGTGAGCCAGCCAGTTAATAAAAAAAAAATATACTTTCTAATATATATCAAAATGAGTTTGTTTGTTATTTGACGCATTACCAGTGTAGTTAGTATACACGTAGGATACACATAATTTTAGGTACCAGTATCAACTGCAAACTTATTTATTCTATCAATATTTAATGTTTGCCGCTTGACAGTTCGCTACAGACGTTCATATATGTTAGAATTGCCTTGCTATTGAACTTTTCAATGTTATAGCCATTCTATACTTTCATAGGTATAAAAAACTGCATAATCTAACATCGATATTAGATAAAATGACAGACATATCCATATTTCTGATATCGCATCATAAAAAAACCATATCAGTCATATCCATAATAAAATGTCGAAGTGCATGTCGTAATAAACTTGCATATTCCCCACTAAAAGATAACTGTTTAAATATTTACATTACTCTGTGCTGTCTGCAGCACGCTTAAGTACTTACACGTTTCGTGGATTACCTTCTGTAGTCTGCGTATCTGGGGAAGGAGCCTTATTTTGCCAAAATAAAAAATGTTCAAGATTGTCTATGACGCAATGTAAAAGATGAAAAAATTTCAACGAATTTTTTGAGGGCTGAAAATGTAGCGGTTTTATATTCGATAGTATTTTCACTGAACCAACTTGAAACTATGTATGTACCTATATAATTTTTAGAGTACAGATTAAATAAGTATCTAGTCGTTAAGTGTCTAAATTATTAACCGGAACTAAGCAGATTAAGTAGCACTGCGACCTACATAGATCTATTGTGTTCGCCTTTTTCAGAGATCGCTACCTAGACCTGTCAGGGACAAGAATTGAAGGATATTCTTAGGAGCGATCGTTTTTATCTCCTCGGGAAAGAGTGTAAACTTTCCAAAGGAGATATTTCGTTTATGCATGAGTGGGCTACAACCACATAGGATGCGAAGCGGCGTTTCCTCTTCAGTTTGGCAGAATCTGCAGATACTTGTCGTGCATAGGCCTAGTTTAGCCATATGCTTGTTTAATTTGCAGTCTGTGAGGGCCCTAGTCATCATGCATATGTTGTTTTTACTCAATAGCAGTAGTCTATTGGAGTATTTGGTCGAGAAGCCCGATATTAGGTCTTTTGAATGTGTTAATCCTGGCATTTCTTGCCAGTGAATCAGTGCTTCTCGTTTGGTTATTAATTTGAGATGTCCCAGTTTTAGGCCACGAGGCACACCACAGAAGGGTTCGGGGCCCGGTTGGACGATTTTTGCCCCTAACTTTGACAGATGGTCGGCATTCTCATTGCCTTCAATATTTGAATGCCCGGGGACCCATCTCAGTATAATATTATTTCTGCTTCCTACTTCATTTAGTAGCAGGATACAGTTTGTAATAAGTTTAGAACGGATTTCGTACGAGTTAAATGCTAGTAGAGCAGCTTGACTGTCCGAATAAATATGTTCTGATTGATGTAGTTGAGGCTTAGGATTACTTCCAGACATCTAATTAAGGCGTAAGTCTCTGCCTGAAAGATTGAGGCGTATTTTCCTAAGCCTATATAGTTGCAGATTTTGGGTTTTACACCGCATATTCCACATCCTACATCATCTCCTATTTTGGACCCGTCTGTAAACCAGACTAGGTCATGCTCTGAGTGAGTCGGTGTATGGTTGTTTTGCCATTCGTCTCTTCCAGATATTTCGATTTTGTAATATTGTACAAAGTTACGCTCCGGTGCCATGTTGTCTTCAGGCATTCCCAGAATAGGATCACTCATTATCGAGTCTTGTATAGTTTTTATGGCCAGGGAATGCCAAGATATCCTCCTTTGGGAACTTATTCTGAGCATATTGGCTTTCGCCTTTTCTTGTATGAATAAAAGAAGGGGCGTCAAGTCCAATAATGCGTCTAGAGCTGCTCCCGGCGTGGTGCTCATGGCTCCTGTAATAATCAGACAAGCAATTCTCTGTAGGCTGTTTAGCTTAGTGGCAGCTGTGGATTGGAGAGTTTTCCGCCACCAGATTGCGCAGGCATAGGTGGTAAGCGGTCTCACCACTGCTGTGTAAAGCCAGTTTCAGACATATGTTATCTACATTTTTACCGAAGCGAGAGATTTGTCAGATATGTAGGTTTTTATATTTTACTTCATACCTAATGGAAAGTATTGGACTTATTACAGACTAAGTTACATCGTTCAGGAATATTATCTTAATAGCTGTGCCTGCGGTTTCATCCGCGTTAAATTTCAATAAAACCGAAAACACAAAATCTTTATATTTTATAGCTTTGTTTGTCTTTTCACTGCTTTATGAAGACTTAGACTTTTTTTTTTAAGAAAACGGCCTCGGTGGTCGTCCAGTCTAACACCGCTTTCCTTCTGATGGTCGCGCTACGATTCCTCGCTAGGTGCAATCATTTGTATGATTGTTTGTATCAGTCTGGGTGTTTTCTATACATATTATGTATGTATTTACAAAAAGATCTAAGTATTTATATCAGTTGTCTAGTACCCATAACACAAGCTCTGCTTACCGTGGGACTAGATGGCGCTGTGTTAATTGTCCAGGGTTATTATTTATTCATTTATATTGAAATAATGTAAATTACAAATAATTAATATACTAAACATTGAGTTAATTTAAATATTATACTTTACATTAGTTATAGGTACATATAGTATAGTGTGGACTTTAGGATAAAACTACCGATTGCAGTTAATTGAGTTCTAAGCCTCTCCATATATCCTGAAACCAATATACATTAATTGCACACAATACATCAAAATGAGTGTATGCGTGAGCCGTAAATGGCCATTTATCTACCCACAATCACTGATAGTAAATTTTCCTTGTAATTAATACGATTATTGTAACAGTATTATACATGAAAAACCTATTAAAGTTTTTGAGTGTTTCGCCTTTAACGCGATTGGACGAGATTGCAAGGTGGAGGCGTATGTGCGTTGCCATTGGTCGATTGAAAGCGTAAGTAGTCGAGTTTTCGCGCGTTTTGCATCAGTTGTAGTAAATTTTCCCGCGCGAAACATAGCGCGGATAACATTTTAGTTACGATCAAAAGTTACGTTCGAAAGTTATGAAAACTGTTTAACTGTAGCTGCCAAGTTTTGTTTTACACCAGCTGAATAAAGGTAAGGTTTTTCATTTACACGACTACTGAATTATATATTTTTTGTCCTTAGCATACAAGAGTAAAGAAAAAAAAATACCATAAAGTATTACATGACTTCTTGCCGTTAATTAAAAATAAGAAGAATTGTAATTTACTGAAAACAAAATTAATTATAAAAGTTATTGCCGTCATTATATGTAGTTAAAGTAAGTATTACTTACTTTAACTTTATTTATAACTGATATAAAATTTATTTACTAAATAAATTTTATGTCAGTTTAAAATAAAAGACTCATATTATTTAAACTGAGAAAGGAATATTCGCATCAGATGAATTACCAGAAAAATCGGTGTACTTTTCGCACTTAAAAACATTTGTTTTAACAATTCGCCCAAATAAATTTCCTATCTACATTAAAATAAATATTAATATTACACATAAAATATTGCATACACATTAATATGTGTATTTTATGTAGATAGGAAATTTATTTAATAACTATAATATGGTTATTACATAATATAACGGCTACAACCACAAACATTTTTACGAGTAGTTACTTTAAAAAATATATATAAAAATGGCGGTTAATAGAGGTCATATTTATTTTTTAGAATTTAATTAATGTTTAAAAGTAAAAATATATTAAAAAAGTAATAATTAATTAAATTAAAATAAATAATCTAAGAAACGGACATTCTATGTACTGATTTTTTTCCCATAATTAGTAATAAAGTTATTTATCGTATTTGTTAAATTTCATGTGTTACATAATTTATTCTACATTTCTTATATTGGACAACAAATGAAGAAGAGAACATCGAATATAACTTCTTTCCTGTATGGTAGGTAAAGGCATTCCTTAGTGGAAAACGTACAGCGAATATGTTATTAACCTTAAATATGTTAACCTATATGTTGTTTCGTTTATTTAAATCGACATAGATAGAGGAAGTTTCTCAATTTATATGGAAACTAAGCGTCGTATTTTTTTCTAAAGAAACACTAAAGATTCTCGCTCATTCTTCTTCTGATAAGTCTGCGTTCCGAATGAGTGGTTGTATGAAAAAATATAACTATTCAAAAATTCTTATATATTAAGTGTATTTGAATAAAGGTTATTTATATTTCTACTTATATTGGAAAAGAGCTATATGGTATTCTTTGATACTATCTCCTTAATGAACCTACATACAAATTGCACCCGTTCACGAGTATGACAGACGAGTTAAGCACGGTTGATCAACGTATCGTTTTTTATGCATACGTTATATGAATTCTGGTACCAAAACTGAAGGAATTTCGATTATAATTCTTCTTTCAATCGAAAGAATTTCCCATCTCCTACATTGGTTAATTTTGCATTTATTAATCATTTACTTTTGTGTATCAAAATATGCCTACTGATTTTACGATTGATGCCGGTTATTTTTAATTACGTTTCGTTATATTATTTTACGGTTATTACTTAAAGCATTTTTCGATTATAATTCTTCTTTCAATCGAAAGAATTTCCCATCTCCTACATTGGTTAATTTTGCATTTATTAATCATTTACTTTTGTGTATCAAAATATGCCTACTGATTTTACGATTGATGCCGGTTATTTTTAATTACGTTTCGTTATATTATTTTACGGTTATTACTTAAAGCATTTTTCGATTATAATTCTTCTTTCAATCGAAAGAATTTCCCATCTCCTACATTGGTTAATTTTGCATTTATTAATCATTTACTTTTGTGTATCAAAATATGCCTACTGATTTTACGATTGATGCCGGTTATTTTTAATTACGTTTCGTTATATTATTTTACGGTTATTAATGCATTTTCATTTAAGCTTTCATTTAAGCAAGTTCATTTATTCATGTTTACATTTGTTGTGAACACGTAGTTTAGTGATAACTAAGGTACGATATCTTTTATCTTTCACATTTATTTATGTAATTGGAATGGGAAAGAACATCACCTGATGGTAAATGGTAACCATCGCCTAGATAAACAGCACCATGAACACCATGTGACGATAGTCATAATGTTTTAGTCCTTCGTACCTTGTAATTCACTGCCGTATCTCACCCCTCAACTGAAATACAACTTATAAACCGAGCTACTTGAAAATTGAAGGGGAAAGATTATTGTTAGTTATATGGACTAATTAACCCATCATTTTTTTTAATGCCTGTACTAACGGTATACGCTGGCGGGGCACCAGTGGAGGAGGATAAGCATGAGGTCAGGTCAGTTAGCCCATCGTGATAAATTCACCAGGAATTTATCAAGATGGTTTCCAGGGAGAACGGCGTAGAGGTTTACCTGACATGGTATATTGCTAGCTATGGGGTCATCAGTTCACATCACTAACAATCCCTTCCCACCATAATTACCCCATTGCAATATAACAAATTAGGTTGTCACGGTTCCGCTTAAAAATCATCGTGATAGGTTGCTAGTGTATTTGTTATAATGGGCTAACAGATCTGAGGTTCTGTTCATATTATCATCCTCCACTGATGCCCCGCCAGCATAAAACGTTAGCGCAACGGTGCACCATTCCATTATCATCTATAAAAAAAATAAGTGAGACAGACAAACAGACGACTTTATCAAAGTCTACATCTGTAAAGTCAGCTACACGCCAGACATATCAAACCTTAATCAAGTTAATCAGTCTATTTCTACACTTTTTCCCTACCTTTGTATTCAAAATAAATACATTTAAAAGCAAACCATGATGTATATGTACTATAATCCAAAGGCGTGATGTTTAATAAACTAATTTGTAATAGAAGTACCTATAATGTATGTAAAAATACAATGAATTTAAAATACAGTATTTAAGTCGGTTACACAGTTTCTAAGAAACAGACAATAAAATAAAAAAATAGCTTAGTAACATAAATTTAAACATATAGGTATTTAATACCACGGCTCGTTTATTGTAATCCATATGATATATTTTTTGATACTCGATTATGGCGCTATAATTTGTTAGACACTATACTTCAAAGGAAAATATTTATTAATATATCTCACAGATTCTTGACATTTCTTCTTAACTGAGGTAGCTGGGCGAACTGGACGGTGGGGCTATCAAATCAAATCAAATCAAACTATCTTTATTCATGTAGGTCTATTATAGATATGTCAAATTTACCGTTAGTTCGGAATGGCTTCGATATGAGAAGAACTGACAATAAACTCAGCTCGTATTATTTTCAAATATGGTTGTACATGTTTACAATAATACGGATTCATTTTTAAATTTAAATTTTGGGAGAATGAAGTGACCACCAGCATATGTTATTGTAATTTGGTCAAATGCAAATAGTCTAATCAGTGTTCGTAACCCGAACAGGCCAGTCCCTACAAGCAACACCCGTCCACGAGTATGACGGATAATAATAAAAATATGCGGCCGAAATTGTACCCATCAATAATATAATAAATAGATTTATCAAACAAGACTTACTATACTACTACTATATATATTACTATAATACTAGACTATATCGTCAACGGTGGTTTATCCAAAGATTATTTTATCGAGATGTTATAAACTTACTAGTAAAGTGTAGATATACGGTTTGTTTCTAATTTATTAAATAACAAGTTGTGTCTGTGGTTTAACTCGTGTGAAATTTATAGCCTATATGATTCTGATATAAACTATATTACTGTAATGTTTCATCAAAATCTATTCAGTAGTTTTTGCGTGCAAGAGTAACAAACATCCATCCATAGTCACAAACTTTCGCGTTTATAATATTAATAAAATATTACGAAATTCTTCTAATATTTCAATATGAATAAACATTTTGAGTTTTAATATTTTTTATTTTATTCAATTTCAAAAAGAACAAGAAGGAAGCCCATTCATTTGTTTGCATCAAATTTAAAAACTCTATTGACATAGAAAGAAGGGATTATCTAATTAGATATAAAAACAAATACGAAATTAAATCGCACAAATGTTTACCCTTTGTTTAATTCCGTAGCGAGATAATAAAACTTGTTGTTCAATGGAATGAATCCTTAATCTGCGTTTGATTACTTTTCAATTTGTGTTCATATAATTTTAGAATAAATGAAAAGGCAAATAAATCTATTAGATGACTGATGGTTGGTCTACAGATTTTCCGATTAATTTATATCCTGTATATTTATATCAGAGGTAGATTGTAGAAAGTCCTCTATATCGGTATCTGAGTCATTATTTAATATTATTTTAGTATATTGCGAAACTGAAGTGCCAATGGGCAGGGTACATAGCTCGTAGGACACATGGCTGTTGGGGCAATACAGTTCGTGAGTGGCGACCGTGGCGGAAGGCCTCCACTAAGGTGGACCGACGATCTGGTCGAGATCGCTGGAAGGCGATGTACGCGAGCAGCGCAGAACCGATCGTCGTGGAGATCTTTGGGGGAGGCCTTTGTTCAGCAGTGGACGTCTTCCGGGCTGAGATGATGATGATGATGATGATGATGATTATGTTATATATTGGTATGCAAAACCAACATTTAAGTATACATCACGGTTTACCACGATCTGATTACATGTCTATATTACATTTAGTGTGGGCGCAGTCATATTGGGAATATCACTCACGGATTAACATTGACAGACTCCTACGCATGCAAACCGATCAGATATGCCCGATAAAATCTGAGCAAATGCAAAAGTCAGAGAACTACCTGAATTTTCCTGAAAACTTCCCGTATCCGATTACGTGTGTGGTGACGCAGTATATATACAAACATAGTATTCAATGTATGTATTATTGTTATTTTGCAGTGCAGAAAAGACCCGCTGTCTCTCGGATTCAAATGTAGTTTGATATTAGGTTATATTTTTATATTATCTGTGGCAATATCACAGATGTCTTTGATTTTATTATAGTTTCATGTCATTAAGAAAAAACTAACATAGTTTATAAGTTGTTTACTAATAATATCGAGTAGATGTTACAATTTGCCTAACAGGTCAGCCGAGATATCCGTCTAGCCCAGAACCACCGC